ATTCCATTGTGTTCTAGCTTTCAGTATGCCAGCTCTAAAGATGTCTGTAGTCTTTCTTATTCCTGATCCTGTGCTGTGACCTGTTTCTCTTCCTACAAGTTTGAGAATTTTCTCTGTCTTTAGCATTTGAAAATTTCTGTTTATCTCCTTTCTGTTTTGAATGATTATGTTCAATATTTGATAGTCATCCTAGTCTCAAGCTGCATCCTTCATTTCTGGGAAATTTCCTTATATTATTTCATGATAATTTCCACCCTTTTTTCCTCTGATTTCACTCTATGATAATGTTAATACTAAGTTACTGGAACTTCTGGGGCACCTGGGTGGCTCAGTCAGTTGAGCATCCGACTTTGGCTGAGGTCATGATCTCACGGTTTGTGGGTTCAGGCCTCATGTCAGGCTCTGTGCTGACAGCTCAGAGGCTGGAGCCTGCTTCCGATTCTGTATCTTCCTCTCTCTCTGCCCCTCCCCTGCTTGTGCTGTCTCTCTCTCAAAAATAAACATTAAAAAAAAAAGATATTGGATCTTCTGAATTGAACTTCTAATTCTCTTATCTTTTCCATCTCTGTCTTTTAGGAGATATTCTCAACTCCATTTTCTAGCCAATGAAATATTTAAAAATACTTTTTTAATGTTTGTTTTAGAGAGGGGGGCACAGAGAGAGGAGACATAGAATCCGAAGTAGACTCCAGGTTCTGAGCTGTGAGTACAGAGCCAGGCCAGGCTTGAAGTCATCAACTGCGAAATCATGACCCGAGCCAAAGTCGGATGCCCAACTGACTGAGCCACCCAGGCGCCCCGGAAGATTTTTTTTTTTTTTAATTTGTTTTTACATTTTCCATTTCTAAGAGTTTTTATTCCCTAAATTGTCTTTCTTTCTCGTCCCTCGTTTTGCTTAATGGACACATTAGCTTCTGTCTCTGAGGATATTAAGTGTAAGTTGAAGTAATATTGAAAGTTGAAGGATATTAAGTGTAAGCCTGGGTGGCTCGGTCGGTTAAGCGTCCGACTTTGGCTCAGGTCACGATCTCGCAGTCTGTGAGTTCGAGCCCCGCGTCGGGCTCTGTGCCGACAGCTCGGAGCCTGGAGCCTGTTTCGGATTCAGTGTCTCCCTCTCTCTCTGCCCCTCCCCTGCTCATGCTCTGTCACCCTCTGTCTCTCAATAATAA